AAAATTACGGCTTGAATAGTAAAATAACGGTCAAAAAATCAATTTTTTGGGGCAAAAAATCCCTACCAAACGGGGCCTAAATCCTTTTTCGTCCCAATCGCCTTCTTAGTTACCTCATCTTGTTGAGCTTTTTCAGTCCGAAAATTCTTTCCAGTCTAGGTTAAAGGACATTGTTGGTACACAACTATGGCAGATGAAGGATTTAGCACAAATCCTACAAATGGGACCCAATAAAAAAATTATTTTTAGCTTATTGCAAAAAGTAAAAAAGATAATATACCATTATCATATGTAAAAAAGACATCGTATTGTTTATTCGGTGTGACTTCTTAATGAGAACAATTTTCAGTAATCACCTCTTCTTCTGATTGCCTGTACTACGCCGTCATCAAATTCACTTCTTTCTTACTAAACTTTCCCTCTACCGGCCAATTGGAGAAACAAATCAATTTTCCTTTCCACTCGATCAAAGCATTCTGACATCTCACCTCGCATCCTCTCCTCAACTCCTTTTATTTCTTGTTTTATTATGTGAGTGATATAGTCATAAAAAGAAGGTGGTGGTCGTCCAATTATTTTAGATGAATGTTGATGGCTAGACACAAATGGTCGATCCAATGTTTTAGAACATTGTTAGAACATTGTGGGTGACTTTTTCTTGGTGGTGCATCATCACTTTTAGATTTTTTCTACCATTATCCTTAAATGCGACATTATCCAACTTAGGATCCGTTTCATCATCATAATGTCTGGATTCCAACCAAATGGCCCTAGCAGTTCATCATCTATAGGATTTAGCATACGACGTACCTCAATCTGGAAAAAAAAAAGAATGTTTAATTATTCAACAAATTGTTTAGTTACAGTTATCATATGCCATGGAGATTTTAATAAACAAACTCACATTTAATGATTCCAAAAATGTGCAAAGTATTTCTCCCCAAGCTGCTTGCACATTTCCTAGCATACCAAATCTCTTTCGAAATTGGGAATTGCTTTAAAAGCCCAAATCTGTACAATCATAAATTTAATATTCAGTAACATAATTAAAAAAATGTAATTATAAAATAGTTTTAGAATATATTATCATGATTGTAGAATACGGATTTATATATGCATTCTCCTCTATAGTCAAAAGTACATATACCAATATAACAAGGAGGCTCAACTTATATTTATCACTCTTGTGCTTGCAACATTTGAAAACATCTAACAATAAATATCTCTTTATTTTGTTGTTGCTACCCTTTAAACGTTCTTTCAATCACCATGCAAACTCTTATAATCCAAATCTTGCAAGCTTGTCTCCAATTTTAGTCTATACTTCATTTTCTTTTAAGGTACTTATCGATCTCAGAATTAATTGGTGGACCAATTGTGATGCAAGCTTTATGTTCCTCAAGCTCAACAAATGTCCAAAGTAGGAGTTTATGAATAGATCTTGAAGCTTATCATCCAAGTTGTAGAAATCTTCATCAATCAATTTCCTTCTACACCTATTACTTATCCTCACATTTACTATGTCTTCAGCATCAATTTTTTCTTAATTTAAAATGCAAAACAATACTTAAGTTAGGAATCTTATTTCTCAAATCAATCATTATTTTAACAAAACTAACAATGGACAACATCATAGCATTCTCCATATATAAAGACGAAAGAGCATTATTAGATAAGAACAAACAACTAGAGGACATTACAACATATCAAGAGAAAGCTAGGGATGGCAAAAAAATCCTTCAAACCCGATACCCGTTGGGCCCCGCCCTAACGAGGCGGAGATTACCCACTTAATCTGGTATTCCAATACAGGACAAGTAGGGTAATAAGGGCCCTGCCTCGCTCCGCTTCGCCCTATTTAATTTTTTTTTAAAGAATTCAATACTTTAAATGAAAAATTCCATGAAATTTTATTAATTTTGCTTAAAGATGGCAACTAAAATTATCTAAAGAATATGATAAACAATAAAAGTTTTAGTTTTTCAAATATATTCGAATAATAACTAATTAATTAAAATTTCAATAATTATATGATTGTCTCACTTTAATGAATGTGGATAATAACATGAATTATCAAAACTTTAAAAAATTAAACGAGTACGTAAACGAGGTAAATGTCCCGCTTTGTCCCCTGCCTATCTTAAATGGGTAACAAGGCAGAAAATTGACTGGCGAGGTGGGGAACTGGCCCCCTTTTTGCCATCCCTAGAGAAAGTAGCCAAAGTTATATCAAGAAACTCCAAAAGACATTCAAAAGAGATTGCACGCGTAGTATCTGTGGTTATTATTCCTAAAATTCTGAACAAACAATCATCATGCAGTTAACCTATGTTTCTCTTCACAAACTGTATGAAAATAATGAATCCAAAATTGGGAATACACACGACATGCCTTTGCATTGAGAATAAAACAGAAGCATCATTTTATAGTATCCCATATGTCAATACCCCCGAAATGACAATTAGACCTCCTTTCAATCAACTCAATGGATCTTTAATGCATTAAAGCATACATTTTATTTGGCCATTCAAAGGCCCTTCCATCAAGATTACCAAATAGAAACATCAAGATCAGCAATGTACATTTTAATTGCAAGTTAAGTTCTAGCAAAATATAATGAAGCCTAATCAAATTGAGTTATAAAAGCACATAGAAATGCAGTGAATCCTGTTAGTTTTGAGCTTACATTTCTAACAAATTTCAAATCATTCTCCACTTTTGAAAGAATCGGAAATTATTGCTATTAATTTGTCTATCACCATTCACTTTCATGATAATTTAACCCGAGTCATGACTTGCTTTCTTCCTCTCGTTTACTGCAACTGAAATATAGACATTACCATAAAGACCTCAACATAGACAACCATTAACTATTCTATGTGTGATAGCCTGGTTTGCTTGAGCCACATAATCTATTCTCTCAATTCAACTTCAGCTTACAGTTTTAATGCTATAATCTAATCAAAATAAAAGATAAGAAGATTCAAAACATGTAACATTTAATTTCCGTTTGCTTACTCAAGCCTCAAGAGCACCCCCACTTTGACTTTTTGAGAAAGAACCTACTTCTTCAAGATACATGTAACTTTGAATATGTTTTTCTTTCATCCCTTGCTCCATTTTGAAGCTATGATTATTTTTATTTTGCTTCCTAGGACAAACCCTATAGAGAAGGAAATTTTCTCGATTTTGATAAAAACAAATTATGTTAAAGAAAAATTAGATAAACTTTGCAAGCAACACATACAAGTATCTAACTATCAAGAATTTAAAGAGATTCCAACCATGTTCGAAATTCATACCAACACACACTAACTGTAAAAATTATTGCAAAAATAAGGTAGATAACTTACTCCTATTGCGTTCACTTCCACCTTCATAATAGTAAAGAGAGGAATTCTAGAATTTTCGCAAATTTGTAGTTGAATATTTTGGAATCCTAAATCTTCAAGCTTCTGAAACTATGCCCACGAACAATTTATGCTTCCCAATAACTTGACGGAATGCAGTCGATTTTACTAGGTTTATAGTGAAGTTGAAGATAATGAAAGGGGAAGAAAGAAGCTATTCATTTCAAAAATTTGGGAATAGGGTTTTTACAACGGGTGAAATGAGGGGAAATATGGTGATTTTTGATTTAATAGTTGAAAGGCAATTTTGTCATTTTACCATTTAATACATTTTGAATTTTCTTTAAAATATAAGTTAAAGCATTTGTCCAAACTCTTTACACAACCCGGCTAACTGACCAAATTTCCCGAAGATATATGACTCAAGGGAATTTAGCCAAATAGCCAATTTACAAAATGATTTTGGACAAATTTATTAAAAAAAAAAAATGCAAAATATTTTATTAATAAATTGCCCTTCAATTTTTAACTAAAAAAATCACCCAATTTCCTCTCATTTCATCCGTCATTTCTTCTTCAACACTGTAAAATCGTAATCTCCGTAAATTAACGTCTTCTTCTTCTTCCTGTTTTCATCATCTTCAACTTCAACGTAAAATCCACTAAATCGACTCCAGATTTGCAAAAATACTAGAATTCCTCTCCTTACTACTACATGGTGGAAGTGAACGCACAAGGAGTAAATTTTCTACCTTACTTAGAACATACTCTTCTGCTCTATGAAGTGTTTGATATGATTTCTTGATTACATTTTTGAAAAGGCATGTTGCATTCTGATATTTTTCATCCCATGTTGCAACTGGGCCACTTTCAAGGATGTATTTGGTGGCATTTTAACATGTATACGCTCAGTGTTGCATATCCCCAATTTTGGATTTATTTAATTTGAAATTCTTTTAGAGTTGTATACTTTTGGCAACTCTATTTTTATTCTTATATGCACAAGGATACTACTCGACAAGAAAGATTTAGGAGTCTAATTCCGAGACATTTCACATAATAGAAAGTTTGTATAATTTTATATTTATATATTATTGCTTCGAAAGTCAAATAAATAAATAAGTGATAATGACCTAGGATTCTTAGTACATTGACGAGTTGTGACAGAGGATGTTTTCACTTGCTATTGTAAAATGAAAATGCAAAAGATTTTAGAAAAGGTACATGTTAAATGGATTGTCATCCTTGTAAATAAGTTGCATTGCAAGCTTGAATTTTATCCGTGCATTTGTTTGGTAAACGATTACTTTGAGAAATAAGATTCCTAACTCAATTATTGTTTTGTATTTTACACCAAGTAAATGCTCAAGACATGGTGAACGCAAATATGTGTAGAATGAAATTGATTGAAGAAGTATTCTACAGCTTGGATGATAAGCATCAAGATCTATTCACAAATTATTGCTTTGAACATTTGTTGAACTTCAAGGACACAAAGCTTGTATCACAATTGGTCAACTAGTTAATTCTGAGGTCGATAAGTACCTCAAAAGAAAATGAAGTGTGGATTAAAATTGAAGACAATCTTGTAAGATTTGAGTTGCAAGTTCATATTGGTGACTGGGTTTAAAATTGGGGATTTGGAAGATAAGGACGCGATGTAAGGACAAAATTGTAAACTTGTGAAGATAGTTTCAAGCATAGTAATGACAAAATAAAGAGAGGTTTATTATTAGATACTTTCAAATGTTGCAAGCATAAGAGTGATAAGTACAAGTTGGGCCTTCCAGTTATATTGATGTATGTACTGTCGGCGGTAGAGGAGAATACATATATTAAATTGTGGTGATGTTATTTGGTTGATGATTTTGATAGATTTAACTACGCATGGGGAAAAAGTCGTATGAGTAGGGTGTTCAAACGCAATTTGGGAAAAACGTCAAAGAATTTTAAATTTATGATTGTACAAATTTGGGCGTTTGAAGCAATTCCAGTGTTAGAAAAAGATTCAATCGTGTGACAGATGATGGTAGAATTCCAAGAATGATAGGCTGGAAAATGTACGAGCAACTTAGGGAAGAAATACTTAGCACGTTTTTGGAATCCTCAAATGTGAGTTTTATTTGTTAAAATCTACATGGCTCAACTTTATCCAAGTTTTGCCGAAGGAGCAACCCCATTTTTCACCTTGAATTGGTTAAATTATGCGGAATTTCTTACTTTTTGCGTATTGATTATTACAAACAATTTGCTAAAAGCTGTACATTTGTTTTTTTCAGATTAAGGTATATCATATGCTAAATCCTACAGATGATGAACTCACGGAGGCATTTTGGTACGAATCAACAGCTTTTGACGATGATGTAAAACCTATAGTGGATAATGTAGCATTTGAGGTTGATGACGAAAAAAAAATTTGAGAGTGATGATGCACCATCTATTTTCGATCAACCACAATGTCCTAAGATATCAAAACGACCATCTGTGTCTAGCCATCAATATTATCCTAAAACAATTGAGCGAACATCACCCACCTCTTATTACTATATCGCTCAGATAGTAAAATAAAAAATAAGAGAAGTTGAGAAGAGACAATTTATTTTATTCTTTCATTTTGTTGTACAACCCTATTTATTAAATGCCAATTGAAACAATTCTTCACCATTCCCCGCATGACTCCATGTCTATTTTCCTTCTTCAGTCTTCTCAAACTCAACAAAATAGCATACTTGTACCCATATCATTCTACGGAATCCATAGTTGCAAATAAAATCAAAAAGTTAAATAATTTACTCAAATATGTATACATCAAAGTAACATGAAAATAATTAACACATTTAAATTATCAAAATGACCACATTGTATTTCCAATAACGAACAGAGATCGTTATATATAACAAATAATGTTTGTACTTCCATTGTGTAATATAACAACTGCAAAACCATAATCATTCAATAGTTGTAGAAACAAAAAAATACGGTAAATACAAAAATCAATAAGTTTTAAAATATCATTCCATACTATATTCAATAATAAAACTACAATTTACACGAGATTCCTAAAAACACAGTTATTCATTTTTCAAATGTAATTGAGATTTCAATGTATATAACATAGTAACAAACTATTGTTCAAATACCCAAAATAAATGAAGAATAGGATTTTAAGGTAGAGATCTGAAAGCTAAAGAGAAGAAAACGATCAATTATGACATTGGGGCCCTAAAATTGAATTGGGGAATTTAATTGAATTGATATGGATTTAATGTCTTTTCCGATGATGATGATATTTATGACATTCGGCATTTTTTTATTTTATAAAGGAGGATTATATTGCCACCACTAGTTTTATTTAATAAAACCACATTTTACTCGAAGTGGATCTACTCAATCTTATTATAGCAATTATTTTTTTAACTTTTTTTGTTGAATTCTTATCACCAACATTTCATTAATTAGTACGTCTCGTCCTTAATGTTGACTTATATCAAAATATTTTGTTTTCATGCTTTGAAATAGTGGGAAAATATTTTTTTTACACTTTTTATTTATTATTATTTTTTTAAATGTGATGAAAAGGTAAGTTGATTTACACCATTTCAATGAATTTTTTAATATAAAATTGTTGTCAAATACGTAATGTTTTAACTAATAAAAAGTTTAAGGATCAGAATGACATGAAAAATCTGAAGGATATAAATATTATATTGAGCAAAGATTAACAATCTTAAGTTTAATTAAAATGTTGTACAAGAAATAAAAATTGTGACGTGAATATAATAATCATTTTATAATTGAAGGTCATTTGACCAATAAACATTGAGAGGAGATTATTTAATCAAATTCGTTGTTTGACTAACCTCTTTTACAAATTCTCCCATCACTCCATGTCTCAACACTCATTATTACACTAACATATTTTTCTATAAAAAATAAATGTAAACCCAATATTCAACTTTTTATTGTAACATTTCAACAACTATTATTTAAATATATTAAAAAATTATTTTAATCTAGACCAAATAGAGACTATTTTATATTCCGTTGCTTTTGACTTGATATAAAACGAAGCGATTGCCTTGTCAAATAAAGATTTAGGTTTGGATTTGAATTAGAAGTAAGAATTTTAACGTGAAAATGAAAATATTATAAGGAAAGATGAAAAAAAAAATTACAATCTAATATCGAAGGAATGAACTTTAACTTGATTGATTTTTGATACAGCAATGTTCGCCTCGACGGCTGCATCAACATTGAGCTTTAGACGGTTAGCAGAGGGTGGTCGCCGCTTAACCTCTACTAGGGTTTTATGGATATTTAATATCAAGAAAAGACTCAAATTGAGCAAAGATTGAGTCGTGGAGAAAAAATAAGTAGAGGGTTGTTTGAAAATATTAATTTAGTAAATAATTTCGGGTAATTAGTACAAATCGTCCCTACCTTTCGATGTTTTTTGTGGAAAACGTCCCTACCTTTCGTTTTTTGACGAATTACACTCTTATCTTTACATTTTTTTGCGCAAAACGTCATTCTGTCAACTTCCCGTTAAAATGTTCTATTAAATCAAAAGGTAATTAACACAAAAGGTCCCAACCTTTCAATATTGTTATGTAAAACATCCATACATTTCATTTTTTTGGCATAATTAGCACAAAAGGTCCCTACCTTTCAATGTTATTGTGGAAAACGTCTCTACCTTTCATTTTTTAGCATTTTCACCCCTACCTTTCACCTTTCATTGCAAAAAAGGTCATTCTCATCTATTTTTTCAAAAAAATGACGATTTTACCCTCCTATTCAAATAAAACAAAAAGAAAAGATGAATTACCAACTGCAATCATAGTCCTTAAATTTTTAAAAAATTACAAAGAAATAATAAATTCTTAACCACCACCACTTTCACAACCTATCAAGCTGCCAACTATAAATCCACATAACACCACCTTTCAGCCACCATGCCCACTGAACTCCACCACCGTAAATGTGGTTGTTTCAGACAGTTTGGTGACCAATACTATGGAGGAGGATATTGGGGAGAGTGAGGCGAGACTGGTGGTGGTGCAGTCTGATAGGTGTTGTGATTGAAAAGTGGTGCTATATGGATCTATAGGTAGTGGCTTGGTGGGGTTGTGAAAGTGGCCGTAATGGAGAATTTAGGATTTATCTATAATGTTTTGAAAGATTTAGAACTATGATTGCAATTAATTAATTATTTATTTTTTTTCTTTTCTTTTTGTTTTATTTCAATAGGAGGGT